GTGCCGAGCGCTTAGCGAAGGAACAGTTGCTACCTATTTTTTATCGACTTAGGTTATTCGCGGCCGTGATTTGAACACACGACCTTCCGATCACGGAGCGAGCGCTCTACCGACTGAGCTACCGTGACGGTTCTTTGAAATGATGAAATCGCTAATTATTAACCATTCAAAGTAACCATGCACTATTTTTTTTTTTGACATTAGTTCTCTTTATAGGCATTATATTTAACTTGAATTCAAATGAAAACCAATATGCAGCGAGATACAATTGCAATCCTGCACTGCTCAGTACATATTTACCATTGAACTGTATCTCTCTGGTACAGCTTTGCAAAGAATGCAGAGTAAATTCATTGCTCAGGCATTGTTTTGTTAAAGCCGTAACTTAAATTGAAGTACCTTTCTTTGAAAGAATATAATACAATTGAGCTCAGTGTAAATATCATTTACTTAATTATTTAGCATACTTATAGGATTGCAAAATCAATTTTTCATTTCCTATTTCAAAAGAAACTCCCACATATTTCAGGGGCTAAATAACACACATACATAAAATAATGCTGATTATTTATTAATATGTCACTTACAATGTTATTTAATCTTTCAAACGCAATACTATGATTATTCAATCTTAAATTTAAATAGAACTTTAGAAGGTATTATCATTAATAAATAAACTTTTAACATTTAGAAAAGGAGAGTCCTTTCGAAGAATATTCACAATATCAAAAAACTATGTATACATTTTATTATTATTTGGGGGAAAAACCCTATTGTAAACAAAATGATACAATTACCATTGTTATTTACTTCTCTATTCCCTGAAAAAGAGTTACGCAAAATAACAATATACTAGCTGTCTATTTTTTAAGATGAGATGTTTGTAAAACAAATTAGTTCAGAATAATTAAAAAAAAACGTTCAATCAGGAACACATTACTAATTTCATTCTATGCAATATGAAGATAACGAACAATAATCAAGCTCAAAAGTCCATTGAAAAAATACAAATCGGAAGCATAGCAAATTCAGACCTCTAGAGAACATCAGAGGAGGGATCAGGCGCCATGGAGAGTAAGCATCCCCTGTCCACCGGTCAAATCCGCCTTAAGTTCATTGTCATGATTGAGCAAACGGAAAAATCCGTAGAAAATTCAGTCTTTAAATATTGGCCTAACAATTAGTATGAAAAACGTCAGTCAGCATTCGACTTAATTATAGATTGTATTTGCTGACAAGGTCATTGTATCGACCATAGAACTTGCACAAAGATGACTTCAAACGAGACTGTTGATATCCTTGTTTCATCAACTTGTTTGTCAATAGCTTTCCTCGTTTTAGAAATTATATGAAATACGACATTGTCGATAAACAGAGATTTTATGAACCGAAAGACCTCAACATAACACCATATGACTGTAACGTTTTGTCGCCCTGTACATATTGTCGCCAGCGACAATATGTACACCTACCCTCCCCGCACATATTGTCGCCCATCGGTGCATATTGACACCGGCGACAATATGTGCCGGAATTAGCTTTTTTCTCTCCCAGCATAATAGGCGACAAAATGTACCTTGCATATTGTGGTCAAAAATTTGCATATTTTATCGCCAAAAGTATATGTATAATTTTTCAGCTGGCGACAATATATACCCATATGATAGATTTTCCCTTAACTTGACGTGCATAATGGAGGCAATGTAAGTTATATATAATATAAAATTTAAGATTTTTTTTCTTTTAAAGTTTTCACAAAATAAAACCCCCGTCGGCTTCCTTTTAATTGTAACAGAGAGCTACGAGGCCCGTATGTAACCACATCAAGCAACAAAGTGGCACGGATGATCTACTGCATTCAATAACAGACTGTCAGAGATCATCTTACAATTAATAAGAAAGTCTTGCAGATCTAGACATGCCCAAAGAAAAGAACTGTATGAAAATGTATACCATGATTTTTGGATTTTGAATCTAAATTTTGCGGAATATCCTTGAAAACTGTATGTTTTAGAATTAACTTGAATGACTAGTTAAGTATCAACTATATTAGTTCTACTTTTCTTATTAAGCCTATTACAAGTTATCACTTTTTCCTCTCGTTAGTATACATTGACGTGTCCGTGCATTTCCCGTTCCCCGTCGCCATCACCTCAAAAACCATTATGTGTCATTAGCGAATGGTAATGCATGGGAACTCTGGAATACCTTTCACCATTTATCTGCTATCGCTACATTATCTTGACAGTAGAAGTCAACCAAATGATGTTGTGACACAGAGATGAGTCTGACATATCATGACCCTGAAGTCAAGCTATCACTAATGACAAGAACTTGTGATGGAGTCAAATCAAACGTGGATCATCGTCTCAATCTTAATGGTTTAGTATCATGTTAAATTCAATTGTAGTTTATTGGAGATTTACCATGATATTAGCAATTTCTAGAATTATTTGCAGTTTGTAAATGAATTTTTGACCTTTTAAAGTATTTTCTTTAGATATGTTGTGGTGTTTCCAGAAACAAAAGTTTTTATATTCTTTCATGCAAAATTAATTTAAAAAATCATTTTATTTAATAAAGGACACTACATTTAACCAATAAAACGCGATTTATTCCTATTTTTATTTATTTATTATTTGTAGCTTGATTTAGTATGAAACAAACATAGCTGATTAATGATAAGACTGCTATCGTACAATTTCTTTTGCTTTTTCTTGTTTAAATATCAATCAAAATTTGCATAAGAACTTATAAAAATCTTTCAGATAAATTTTGTGATTTGATAAACCGAGGAATTGTGTTGTCAAATAAAATATGGAAATTAGACTACTGCTAACAAAATGAAATCATAACAGAAACCGGTTTCAGATTCAAAATCCCTTGCAAATCGTTTCTTTGTTTTCATTCCTTTTCTCAATTGTTTTGTCTGTATTTGATTCAAATAATATTTTGATTGAATCCAGGATAGGCGGATTTGACGTTGTAATTAAATTTCATGTTTTGAAAAATGGATTTTAATCACGAGTTCACGTCATCAAAGACAAGCTCCACGGTGAGTATAGAGTTAATTTTACCAATACATGTGATTTTGAAAATGGACTTTAAATTACCCTTCGGAAAATGGAAGATAATAATGATTAATAGTTATGGAGGTTTCACTATCAAATTATAGGAAGTCAGCAATCAATTTCTAAAGATGAAAACGAGAAACACTTTTCTCTCAGAGGGTGTGAACATGTTGAAAGAGATAAATCGCATTTCTTTAAAGAACCCATGGCCAAAAATATTTAAACGCCCAACAAAAACAAGTACGCTGTCAATTTTATGATACATGTTTTTTTTTATTATAATGCAAAATTAAACGAGAGAAAACATTTTGATTCAACCTTTTTACAAGTTATTCCTAATAAAGACCATATCTCAAAAAAACCTTTGAGCTTTTGCTATGAAAGTTTATGTCATAACTCATGTCCCTAATTGTTTTGAGGTGTAAAGGTGAAAGGACAAGGTCGTAGTTCATACATTCTGTCTGTATATAACACTTTAGTTTCCGTACGATAAAAGCCTAGAGCTGAGCTTTTGCAATGGTATTTCATATTACAATTCCTTATTGCCTAAAGAAAAATCCTATTAATTTTGTGGTCAAAGGTCAAGGTCAGAAACTCACACGTTTCCAGATGATGCCTTTAGTGTTCTTTAAGCTTTTTTCAATGAAATTTAATGAAACAATTCACTATGGCTTTAACTGCCTGCTATTGAATTTGAAGTGAAAAGGTCAAAGGTCAGAAATTAATAGTCACAGTCTGTGTGTGTTACACTTTCATTTCCGGACGATATCTGGAAAAGCCATTGAGAATTGGCAGTGGAATTTTATATCACAAATCCCTATGGCCTAAAGAAGGTCCCTATTGATTTTGGATATCAAAAGGTCAAAGGCCATGGTCAGAAATTTATATATTGTAATTATTGATTTTCAAATGATAACTTTAATTTTCTTTGAGCGTTTCTAACTGAAATTTTACATCGTAACTCGAAATAACTTAAGAAGACCCTTTTGAGTTTTAGGTGAAAGAGTCAATGTCAGAGATTCACATCTTGCATAAAATGGTTTCCTGGTGATAATTCCAGTTCTTAGAGGTTTTGTAATGAAATTTTAGTCAACCTTTAGTCAACATAACTTAAGACTGCTATTAATTTTGAGGCTGAAAGGTCAAAGACCAAAGTCAGAAATTAATATATTACATACATGTTTTCAAGTGATGACTAGTTCTCTGTAAGCTTTTGCAATGAAACTTAAGGTCATGAATTTCTGTAACAGATAAAGGCAAGTATTGACTTTAAGGCCAAAAGCTGAAAAATCATGATGGTTGACCTTTTTTGTTTCTCCATCTGCATATTTTTTCAGTTCTTCCACCCTTTTTCCCTTAAACGGGGGACACAATTTCTCTGAATTAGCTTGTTGTCAGGAGCAAGCAAGTCTAGATATTATTTCAATAAAAAGATGATATGTTGTGGGCTTCTACACAGCGAATGGTGCAGACGAAAATTGTTTTATTTCAGTTTGGCAATAAATGTCGGTGTAAATAACAATGCCTACATGCTATGTCAATCACTCTCTGAAACTTTTAAACAATTTTCTATAGCAGCCAAAGTATCTCACCAAAGAAATGTATTACCGAATAAAACCATCTATGACTACAACTTAAGTAATTTATTCCACAAGTCGCTTTTTATTCCCTAATCTTCTACTCCGTGCCTTCAAAAGCTAGTTCGATAAGATAGCTTTAAGACAGACATTACATTGAAAACATCTTTTTTATCAAAGAAACATAATGATCAATTACAAAATCTAACATGCATGCTTCAACCTCAGATATTCTCGGGGACAAATAGACCCCGCCTCCTTCGTAATTATAAAGTTGACATCGACCCTGTTGATCAAGAAATACTATAAAGGATAGTTTTGATGTAGCCCTTAACTTAGTCGATTATTTTTCCGTGGACTGCTGTGTTGATGTTAAAGTATCAGCAAAAAGCACGCGACACAAACTACCAATACGGAACTGACAGGGTGTAAATAGTATCAAAACCTCACATGAAATGTGAAGTTTATCGACAAAAGATATGCGATTTACGTGTTCATACTAATCAACCCAGGACAAGATAGAAATAATTTATTATATATACACTGTTTAAAAATTAATGATTGAATTCCCTGTTCCATAATTATCAACAGCGGCAGACAAGAAAGAACAGGAAGAACTGTTTGTCAAATCTCTGTCTTGGAGGTGGATTAACTTTGCTCTAATCACGAACAGTTTTCCAAAATACGTTTACTCTTATGTCATCCCAGGAATACAAATTGTAAGGTATAGAGACTTTGTCAAGCACCATGTTCAGCCATATTCTGTGTGCCTTACTCTGCATGTTACAAGACTTACCAGGTATGTTAACCTATATACATAATTAAAACACAATATTTTTCAAAATTTTCTGATTAGTTAGCAAAATAACAAAAAAACATCTTTGAAAACTATTTCTTTCGTTTTCTATTTTACTTCCAGCCTCAATACATACTTGCATGTATTCTTATGTTTTGTACTCTTTACTTTAAATGCTTTTTCATCGTTAAATTTTATGTAGATCGAATGCTGTTGCTTCTATTGTTGAGCAGACTTCAATGCTTATGGTTACCTGTTCTGTGATAATATGTAACAGTAAACACCAGAATCACCTTTTCCTTCCCCTCATTGACAGATTATCCATTCAGTTACGTGGGAATCGTACTGATCTCTTTATGCAGAATAATTAAAGACGTTCATTGGCGCTCTCTCAATAGCGCAATCTAAAACGCTTTCAGCTCGAGTGTTTTTTGTTAACCATGTCGCATTAAAGCATGTAAAAAGAGATGTTATGTTTCTGCTCTTAAGTGTCCTGCTCTAAATTTACAAAGAATGCAAATCGAATGAAACCCAATGCAAAATTTCCTTAAATAATGGATTTCTCTTGTCATTGGACCTTTTCCTAAATTCACACTATTGTCTGACTCTCCTTCAATAAAGAACGATAATTTTAGTAACAATCCCTCTTAAAAGTTTTTATAATCAGATTAAAATTAAATTTTGTCGCCTCAGTTTCACACGACAGTGATTTTGTATCGTTTATTCATACACAAGTTCATGACGACCGCTTACTATTGTCGACAACCATCTGTTTCAACAGACTTCTGTTTTCTCAGATAATCAACGACAGTTTGTATTTTATCGGGTCAATAACATCCTAATTGGAACATTGTATCGCCATCGATCGCCAGTCTTGATTTCCAATAAACTTATGTTATCCTGGTCTTCTACATTTTCTAATTCAATAGAAGAAAACCTGCGAGTCTAGTTCGGAGACATATAAAACAAAAGTCAGCTATATAAAAATCAAGTATATGTCAAACATAGTATTGTGTTGTGACAATTAATATAAATTTATGTTCCCAATTGAGTTGTTGATATATATCAGATACAGCAGGGACCTTGTTAAGTATGATTTCTCGGTATCAATAAATGTTTTGTTAGACAGCTGGAAGGATATCTACATGTATAATCATGTTTGGAGACCAAGAGACTAACACAACGATTCAAGACAAACCTAAGCTGTGGAAGTATTTTAAAATGAACTACAGTTTCCTTCAGTTAAAAGTTCAACAATTAAAGTGGCAGATGTAGTAAAATTAAAAATGTAAATAATTTTTATGGATGAGTAACTTATCAGAAAAATATATCAAACGCATGTTTCTATAGTTTTTAATGCAATTGAAATTACAAGTTTTCATTCGTTGAAACATGTATTTAGTCAAGCGATCTGTGTCAGATTTTTTTCCTCACAATAAAGTAGTATATACAATTCCGTAATACATATAATATGTGAAACAATGTTTCTCAGAATCTGATCTGTTTATGTCTTTGTATTGTTACACCATCCAATTATACCTACATAGGCATCATTATCATTAGTTAAATAAATAGTCCTCTATGGGCTCATTTCGATGTAATGGTCGTGTTCATAACGACGAGTCCATTACGGATTAGGATATGATGAAATCTCGCGGGAAATTCGCCGCGTTGTAGTCACATTACCCAAGACGATAATGCCATCAAATATGGTCCACAGACTGTACAGGACTTTGGAAAGGTCAGTCAGACGTGTTGAAGGCGGTAAGTATCGCTAGCCTTCCTCGGAGTACCTCGGGATTTAAGCCTGACCGAGTATGAAAGTTCGTCCGAAGACCAAAGCTGTACTAACCTTTGTCACGAAAATGAAATACTTTTTATTTCTAGATGAACTTTGGGCTCTATGAGCACGAAATCAAAATCTGATAAATTATTCAGTTATCCTTGCCTCTTATCAGACAGATACCATTTTGATTTACTTTCTATCACTCTGACGTTTCTTTATGGAACTGATCTGGTTTGCTTCTGCTCTTGGGATTTGGGCCATATCTCTTGACATATTATTGGTGGAATAATTCATTCAATATAATAAATATTCACAAGAGTGATGAAATTAATTTTTTATCACCGCTGGATAAATGAAGCAGTTGTTGCTGAGACTCAAAATATTAATTTAAAAGTACTGCAAACCATCTCTTTGCTGATGCTTAAACTTTTGAAATCGTAGTTGCCCTTGCAAATAGGACTTCATGAATTTCCTTACTAATAGATGTATACACGGGAAAATATTAAGTTTACTGCAAACCATCCTTTGATGATACTTAAACTTTTGAAATTGTAGTTGCTCTTGCAAATAGGAGTTCATGAATTTCATGAATAGATGTATACACATGAAAATATTAAGTTTTTCCTTTCATCTGCATTGCAAAGATTTCACTGGGTAAATTTGCTAGAGGTTGTAATTATTATCTTTATTTTTCGTTAAGTGCTGCATTTAACACATAATGAACTAGTTTGCTATTTCAAGATATTCTTATCAAATCAATACTTACCGAGAATGTAAATTCTATTTTTAATGGAACCCAAATTCAAAGATACATCATAACTATCGATCTTGTCTTAATTGATTGATACACTCGATTAAATTTACAAAAGACTGTCCGCTACTTTTACATGTATTTAGTTTTACATATTCTATCTTGCATGCTTTTAAAAAACAGAGGACATAGCTTTCTGGTTTAAAAAGGAATTTCCTCTTCTTTCTTATTACTCTAATATTCATAAACTTCATCTCACTTCATGGTTTTAAATCAAGGCTACATTAATTCTGTTATTGATAATGAATGCTCAGAATAGGTGGTTTTATTTCTCGACAGTTTTATAAAATGGTCTTTCTGACATAGGCAATTCAAAACAAAGGATTGATATCTTGGAATCTAGAAATTCAATAGAATGTCATTATCCGGCTATCTTTAATTGTGACCAATTCAAATTAAACCATAGGACAACACGCCAAGTTCACATAAACAAAGGTTTATGGCCAGAATGTCTACCATTTGCCGGTCATGCTCGGGCAGTATTGACTTCCTATAGACCCTTGCCATTAGGCCCCTTGTAATTTAACCACAATTTTTATGGTTTCAGCACTCACAAAACTTGCTGACTTTTAGGTTCTTTCCAGCTTTTGCATCAAATCTAAAAAAAAAATTATTACAAAAGTGATTGTTAGAGCAAAGGGGTATGGTATGGATATTGTGATCAATTACCAAATACATTCATAGTAACAGATGTTTAATTAGCTCAATATCCTCAACGTACCGTGGTTTTCATCGATGTGGAACTCTGCAGAGAATAGAATTATATGGACATGGTTGATAACTTTCTGTTACGGTTCAAATTTTTAAAACAACTATGCATATGAATAGTAGAAAAGGAAACTTAAGAATGAATGCTTATTAGCAAATTTAAAAGTTGGTTCGCTGATATTTTCTATTGGGAATTCAAAAATTTGGAAGTTTATATTAATAAATTATACAGTTAACAAGACAACCTTTTATCTAATGAAGACTTGCATATTTCTACTGAGAGCTCACATTTATAGCATACTGATCGACACACATGTCGATGGAGGGTTAAAAAATGGTTGTATCTGTTTAAAGTGACAGAGTGTTGATATGGTTGAGTAAAATGTTTTGAATTTAGTTTTTTGGGCTGAGAAAAGAATAAGAAATACTTCAGTTTACCTGAAAACGTTTCCGTTGAGAGCTGGTATGATTGATTTTGAGACAAAAGAACAAAAAGAACAATTAACAACACAACAAAAGAAGTAGCTCAGCATGCAGAGATATTTATGGTTAATAAACGTTCCTGCAAGTATTTTGTAACTTGTTTCCGATAAGTACATGATAAGCAATTAGAGAGAAGTTTATGAGCTATTAAGTAAGGGGAGGTCTTTGAAGAGTATAAGTTGGACAAATTTACCTGAAAATCAATTACGTCTGGTAATTATTGCTAATTGTCTATGAGATGAGAAATCAATAAAATTTAGAGCAGTTCTTTTCCCTCTTCAAGTTTTCAAAATAATTTGCAACGGTAAAACTTTCAATCATATATTTTGAAAAGATTTTCTTTGTCTTTTGAGTGCTGTTTAATATGCCAAACAATGTTTGGGCAGTGAAAAATATTCACTGTAATTGAAAAGATATTGACTAGTTTCCAAACTCAAACATAATTCAATTAAGTAAAATAAAGTGGATTTTATTCTTCGAACTTTAAAAAAAATTCTAAATAGCTTTCTAAGTGCCATTTTCTCGGGATTTTTTGTGTCGAGGACTTGCTTTGGCCTTTCTAGAATAAAACCTTTCTCAATCCCATTTTTTTAATTTTCTAGTGACAAATATTGCTTAGCTTGAATTGAATATGGGACATGCAGAGATGCCCAAAAGCAAGTCTTGGCTCTGTGTGCTTCATTAAATATGTATTTGATTGTAAAATTCCTCTTATGATGAGTTGTTTAAACTCTAAGTGTCAAATATAATTTTTGGGAAAGGACAGTGGGTGTTCTGTATTGAAAATTCTTCAAGTTCTTAGACAATGGTGCTGCTTAAATTGAGAATTTTGTGTCATGATCTAAGAGGTGTTGGTTACAGTGTTACTATGAACCAATTCGATAGATCACGCTAAAGGCAGCAAATTACATAATATGTCAGCAGGAATTGGAAACCGAAAGCTCTAACAATGCAATCTGGTTTTCATTACCGCTACTACTCATATATTTTCTCTTGACGAGGGAACTATGGAACGAAGAGTACACGTTAATCATGTTAATCAGTTTTAGAGTACATGTTAACTTTAAAACCTCGAATTTCCATAACACAAAATAATTAAATACGATCAACGATTTTCATTGGATTGATTGATTGTATGTACATGTATGTTGTTTAACGTCTCATTCGAGATTTTTTCACTCGTATAGAGACGTCACTGTATGCCGGTAAAGGGCTTCAAATTTAGACCTCTACTTGGCACTCAGGGCCATTGAGCAGTGTGGGTTCTTTATAATGCCAACACCTACCGTGACACGGGAACTCGCTTTTTAGGTTCTCATCCGAAAGACCCGTGACTTTCACTTCTAATGCCGACGCTTGGCAAAGGAACAGTCACTACCTATGTTTACGTTTCAGGTTTGAACTGCGAACGAAAATCGAACCTGGGCCAACAGAACACAAATGCGAACTGCCTACCTCTATGCTACTGTGACCGGTGTGATTTTCTAGGAAAGTAAGCAAATAAAAATGACCTTTAAAAATTACGAATAAAATGGAGAATTTTCTTAAACACGTTTTATTTCAGGGAATATTTTTCAGGAATTTCAATTAGAAGCATAAAGAAATCAATATCAAAATAATTCGTTTTCAGTAGTTAGAAGTAGTTTAGTAGTAGATAACCATATCTGTGACTTTTTATTTTCCTATTCCCATTAGAAATTCTTGTATGAAAGAACTATGATGGTCAGTCAATTTTGTAGATGAAAAATCGTATAAACTTAATTTCCTATTTATTAAAGAATTGATTGAACAATGCCTTGAAGAATAAGATGCATAAATCAGATTTTAAGGTATGGCTATATTATTGCATTCAAATGAAGATCAAATTATCTTTTCTGCTTTCTAAAATGAAGTATGACATAAGGTGTTAAAAACCGATTTCCCCATTTACTTTTGAGTAAAACATTGATCAATGCTAATAGAGGGACACAATATAGATAATCCACATGGATTACATAATTGATATCAACTTAGAAATAGAACTCCGTTTACGTTGTCTTTTGTTTGAAAGTACACATAAAAAATATTGATCCAAAAGAAAGAGAAAATTGACAAAAATCAAAATTACTTTCTGGGCAATTGAACGCGTATTAATTTTGTTTGTTCTATTCTCAATTTGTTGAAAATTTACGTAACAACGATTACTTTTTCAGCGTTTGATTAAACATTGAATGTCTCTCAAAGTCCATTTTCATTAGTTTTTTGGATTAGCAGAAAACTTTGAGAACAGTCAATTGCACATAAAACTACCAATTACTAGACGCATGACCCACACAGATAAGTGGCTGTGTCAAAGACAGGGATTAGAAATGTGCCCTGGTACTGCAGCCTGCTGCAGAGATGGCTTTAGCTAAAGCAGATATTTTCCTTAGAATGTCAGACTTAATTGATAAATGAACTAATTAATTTGTAGTACTTCTTGGAATGCACTTAAGACTAATGGTACACTCTTTTTTTTTTTAACGATTTATGGTTTTATGACTAATACACAGGCCGATTAATTAAATTCTAGGTTAAAGATAATCACATCATGTGTTTATTTGTACTGTCATGTTCACGATAATTTCAAATTCACCAGGATGGAAATTAAATCTAAATTCACCAAGTTGGAAATAATTTAAAAAATCAGACTACGGTTTTTCCATTTATCAATACCAACAGAATACAAGACAAGATACTTGAGCTTTGTGGTTAAATAAGACATAATGAATAACGTCTCCATCAACAAAAACTGATTTATTCAGCAATGTCAGATTGATTGTACAGCTTTGAAAACAAAACACCGTGTAAACAATGTTTTAATCGTGCATTTATTCATGTTCATACATGTAACATCTTCAAACACAAACAAGAAATCCCATTTCAAATGTCCATACTAGCACTAGGTGATTACAACTTAACGAAGACATAAATAATTCTATCATTACATATTTTAAGACTTTACTGTTAAATATACTAAATGGGGAGAATAGATAAAAACTTTTATTATAATGTGGATTGTGCATTTATCAGCTTAGCACAAGCAGATCATTAAAATAACAAAATAAATTTAATGTTATGGAAAACAAACTTCGTATGAAAAAAAAAGATGAAATTGGACCACAAAAAAGATACTATGATTCAATGATCCGTGATTAGTTGAGTGCGATAGTATTTTATTGCAGCAAACATAATACTTATATAAATTCAAGTGAAAAAGGTGAATGTAGCGAACAATGAATCTAATAAGTATCTCATAAATCCTGTGAACAACACAAATCGTAAATAGGGCAAATACAAGGATCTCCGGAAACGACAGAGGTGGGATCAGGTGCCTAGGAGGAAAAAGCATTCCCTGTCGACCGGTCACACCCACCGTGAGCCCTAGCTCTGTAATTGATTGGGTAAACAGAGTAATCCAATGGCAAAGGCGAAAGGTGAAGACAATGAACAGTGATCAATGTTATAAATCTAGTATAAAATGTCTTAACAATTGGTATGAAACCTGTCAGTCAAAATACAAAACGAGCCAATAATATGAACTGTTTGCAAATAAGTTCATTGAAAGGACCACAAAATTTTTAATACTGGCTTTAAACAAAATTGTTGGAACTCCTGTATCATCATCTTTTTCAGTAGTCTGCGTGATCGTACGCAGAACACGCTTTTGCATATTGAATTGGGAGACTACCATATGCAGGTTATAGTAAAATACTGGGAAAATTGACGATGGAAAAACTGAAGTCATCCCTTTTGTCAGATGGTTTAGTTGTTAGTTGGCACTTAATGTCTATAGTCAGTAAAGCATTAAAAGGCGGACTTCACGGTCTCTTCTTTTTCGATTTCACCAGGATATACCGAGTCGACATACGAAAATAACTTATGTAATTCTCTAAACGTCGTCGATATATCTAAATGTCGAAATGGAGGCCTCAGCAAGAGTTTTCTTCTTCTCATGTAGAAGTTTTGAATAAATCTCCCTCTTAAGAATATAAAAAAAAAATTGTCGGTTAATGTCGGAGCACATTTATTGTCCATTGGAATTTTAACAGATTGTTGGAAGATCTGGTCTATAAAAACTACTTAGATATTGTCAGTGAAGAAATCCATCATCTTTTTAATTTCAACTTCAATGTAATTTTGTAGATGACCAAGCACAAGATATGGACATTTTTGAGTTCCATTTTGATTGAAGAAGCAGTTGTCTGTGATGTAAAGAAGCCTGGTCTTTAACTTATCTTGAAGAATGGTTGCATAAAGTGTTGAGCAATCATAAGTTCTGATTTTATTAATTCGGCAAAATTGTGTGATTTTTTTTTTTTAAAGTTTTTGGGAAGTTTTGAGAATCCACATTTGTTTTACACGACTTCTTAAAATTGTTGTAGAACGTTACGTCTGAAGTAGTCAATAATTTTGTGAAGAGTAAAGATAGGGGCTCGGTAGAATATTTACTGGGCCCTGTAATACATCTGTTTGTAAGGTTTGGAGTCCATATACATTGTATTACATTCAAACAACATGAAAATAACATTCCAAATACCCATTTATGTCTTCTAATGCTTATAGGCAAGCTCACCGCAGCTAGTTTTTGCTAATTTTGTACAAGTCAAATAAAACACTTTCATCGAGATGAATAATGTCATTTATTAAAATGACGGTATAAACGTGAACAATTTAACACACATTCACATCAGATTCACAAGCTCTGATTATCAGTTACGTAAAATATGATAATGTCTGACCCCCAAAAATTACTAGAAAAAAGTACCTGTAAAACAAGACAATCAAAACATCATAAGAAAAAGTTAGCAAAAAGATGGCACCTCAAAACAAAATAGGCCACAATATGTGACATGCAGTGTATTTAATGTATGAAATGTTCAACTACGAAAAAGTTCTGACCATTGTTGAATTGTTTGAATATGGTCAATGAAGTATTCCTTTTTCATGGCATTGTGTCAATGATCTCTGAATTCAATAAAGCTCTGTCGCTTTACTCCTGATAAAGCAACCAAGCATTTAAGATACTGGAATCTCATATCATTTTACACATTTTAGTAATCGGTTACTTGTTAGATTGTTAAACAATTAATAAAATACAACCCTGTTCACTGGCAAAACAGCTTAATGTACTGATAATGGAGAAAAAATAGGAGAAAAACATTTATCTGACTTTACAGCACCGAATCCCTGTGCTAAGATAGGTGTTGGTAACAACTTGTAGTACTTAAGGGAAAATCGAAACCTTGCAAAATTCTTGATTTACAATTATCTGTTTTGAACTGACATAAATCATTCTGTTATAAGGCAAAGAAGAATTCGTTTATATAATTGTTATATCAAACGATAACTATTCCACTTAATAGAGCGCGATTTATAATAATGGTCGTGCATTAAGAGGGAAATGTTAAGAATGGCGATGAGACAGCGTACCCAGCTTTAAATTGTTATAGCATTTGCAATTTAGAAAAAAAAAATATTCAAATACTCATTCAATATAGAGTTTGTTTCTTCAAATTGAATTTCCGATATGAAAATACAGATATATACATATGAAAATTAAAGTTCTACATAAAAGATACAAATACCTATGAAAAAGAATTGTTTAGCGTACATTGCAAAATTTGTTGAATTCAAGGCTTTGTTGTGGAATTGTTGTTGAGGTCTCTTATTTTGTATAGATCGAAAAAAGCTTTATCGATCCTGAAATGTATTTCCATCTAAGTATAGCAAAACTGGACAGCATTGATTACAGTTTTGCATCCATTACTCGTTGTTAGAAAGTGTTGTCACATTATTGCAGATAATGCCGAATTCTCAAAAAATTATTATTTGAAGTCTCCTATGTGATGTAATGCTTAACTCCTAGTGGTGTTCCAGAGCGAGATACATTAGAATACTTCCTTCATTATTTATTACCTATTAACAGCTCATTGAGCTTTCAATATTTTACATTTTGAACAAACACATACGAGTTCAGCTCTCATCTTTTGATATTTTTTTTAATATTTCAGTTGTCAGATCAATGTGGGACGAATGGTGGACCTACGACGGAATTTCTGGTGAGAAAATTTACTCTAATGTAATGTTACATCCAGATTGACTCTGTTGTTATGATTCATTGATAGATTTGTACTCAATGTGCGTGAGACCCTTGCATTGTCTGATGGCCTGCAATAGGTGTCATCGCCATAATCCCTTACTTCTTTATTCTCTGTGATGGTGAAAAATATAATTATTTCACCTGCGTATATAGAAAAGATTACAATTTTATTTATGGTCTCGCCGCAAGACATATGTGGTGTGCAAAACATTTTCTGATTAATTCGTTCCATGAAACTATTTCAAATAACGTTGTTCTTTATTTCCTCACTTACATAACTTTCAATGAGTCTTTCAGGTATGAAATATTCATGCCTTAGATGTGCTAATCAGTTATAGTGAGAGTCATTTCTGCAATTGTATTAACCTTTACTACGACTATAAACATATCGGTAAATAGTTCGTCTTAGGACAAAGAACCAAACGTTATCATTGCAAGCATCGTCAGATTAAAGCCATTGGTCTTGTCCTGTTTCTTGAAACGGGAGCAGATCAAAACTAATAACTCACGACACTGCTTTGCTAGAGACTTGTAAGTTTGGCGTGTTTTATAAAAGTATAAAACTGCAAACATAAGAAAAACTATTTGAAAATCAGGCCAAACTGACCATATGGCAAAGATGTGGAAAAGACTGAGCTGTCAGGGACTTTTTGTCAAAGGGATAGCCAAAAAGTCAAAGAAGACAAAAGTTATAAAAGTCAATGTGCTTTGGTAAATAATTTTATATACAAAAAAGAAATATCTTCATATTCTATGTCTTCATATTCACAATTTCTTTTTAGAATTATATTCATATGAGATTATAAAAATCCTAAATTAAGAACGATTTAGAATTGATTCATCGATAAATAATAAACTCATTGCAATAAACAACGCTCTCAGATGTAAGGAAAACAACTTAAATGCTCGTGTAGATTCCTCTAAGTGTTCACCTTATTTATACATAACTAATGATGAAAATCGTCGCTTTTGTCCCAAAAGAGGAGCTGCTCAATTAATTTCATTCAGTAAAGTAATATTAACCGACAAATACTGCAGAAAACATTATTACAGGCTAAGGGCAATATTAATCATTTATGTATGTCAGTGCTTTCTTTATTTGAAATAGTAGTTCGTTCAGTACTCTGAGCCGATAGGTTCATACAGATCTATATTTATCTCTTGATTACCTTTTTTCTGATGACTTAGAAGCTAATACTGGTATTTTGGTTCTTAAGGACATACGCAACGTACCTTACCTACTGATAATTTTTCAAGATATTCTTAATTTAAGATAATAGTGCCATCAGATGTTCATAGACAAAAAATCAGCATGCATTACCAGAGGTTTTGAAAAGATATCAATTGATGAAAATTCTCGTATACTTCAAAGAAAAATATTCAAAAATTACTAAACATATATTCTAGATGTTTTGTTTATGCAAATTTGTTTTAGAAGAAGTGTACAACAACATATATAGACATTAAAACGTAGCACACAGTTCCTTTAAGTATCGGAACTCTTCAACTCCAGGGAAAAAGACAATAAAGTTCAAACTATGTTGCGTATGTCCTTAAGTACTTCTTACTTTATAAGTATCTTCAAATACTCTTTGTAAGTAAATTTCTCTTTGCTTATGGAAACGGTAACGGATTTATTGAATTATGCAAGAGATGTGAATCGAGGCGAATGGCAGCTGAATTTTACACCAGTATGTTTCACTAAAAGTTAATTTGGCTTCTTCTGTAACATCGTTGTACAAAGACTGCTGTTCAGTAATTATATCTATCAAGAAAACCATAAAGTTCCAAGAGTTAGTCTCGGGTGGGACATAAGCATTTCAAGGACCTTGATTTACCATGTCTGGGAAGAGATTCTATGACACAAGTCGAAGTAAAGCTTGACAACTCTGATTGAGGCTTCCATTATCGGATGTCCAGTCTTCAGGGGACCTTGTGATATATGAGCAACTCAGAAGATGTTGTCTTCATGTCTTTATCTCCTCGCTGAATTTTAAAAAAGACTTTAATGCAGTCTGTAGAAATGCTATATAAGATAAAAGTATATAAGCCGTTAATTAAAGGTCTATTTTTGTCCACCTTCAATTTAATAGGATTTCCTGGATTTGGGTTTACTGGCGACATCTTTTCTGCTAGGTTTAGCTGAAGACTAGCCACTGCCCTCGCACCTTTTTCTTGATGCTCAATTTGAGTTCTTAAAAATGGCCAAAAGGGTATCAATATTCTAAAAGATTAGAGTAAATATGATAAAAATGAAAGGAAACAATTTACCAATATATATCAACAGAGAAATATTGGATATGAAATGATACTCTACCAGCTCTTGGCATGTTAACAAAACGTAGTTAGAAACCGATAAAACCATGGCTGATAGTCTATCTCTGTAATATTAGGAGACAATTAGGTAGAGCAATTGATTGTGGTAATGAGATTGTCTCCCTTGACCTGCGATGAGAGAGTAGAGAGGCGACTAATGATCAATATCAGCTTATACTCCCAATGATTCTGCTTACAGAGACGGAAAACGGATTTGGTTCCGTGCAATAGAGTTGTTCGCTTGGTGCGGAAAATGGACAGATGAAAGCAGTGGTGACTGATGATGGCAAAATGAGCCTTGTGCGTGTGGTGCGATGACCACTTGCCATCTTAAAGGAGATTTCTTTGGTACTGGGAGTATCCAAGAATGATTCTCATTTGATTTCATTAAACAGCCCAGTAGATGAGTTTTTCCTGTACAATCTCTGCATGTTGAACATACAGTACTATTTAGCTTTTGTTTTAGGGGTCTTGATTTATTCGATATTAATTTTACGGTCCATTTTTGCCATTAAAATTCCAGGAAATCTCATTTATAAATTAAACGGCTTCATTTAGGGTGAAAATCCGTGCTTTTAATCCGTGTAATATTCTAAATTTCTGCGAAAAGGTACAAAATGATCAAAATCTTACATCAGAATTTTTGAATTACGGTAAAACGTTATGTTGATTACATTTTAATTGTTCCTAGATGGTTTACAAAAATTAAAAAGGTGACGCTAACGAACCGTGATCGATTTTAAGAAAAAGTACAAAATACAAATTTGTGAACAGGGCATAAAACAAGGACCCCCGGAAATTCCAGAGGTGGGATCACGTGGCTTGGAGGAGTAAGCATCCCCTGTTGACCGGTCACATCCACCGTGAGCCCATGTATTGATCAAGTAGACGGAACATTCTGTAGTCGAATTTAGTTTAAAAAGAACCAAAGACCTACTATTGGTATGAAACATGTCAGCCAAACTACGACGCAATCATAGGTTATATTTGTTAACAAAATCATTGAATCAGTGTAACGACCAGAGAATTTACGAAATGCTGACTTTAAACGAGGTTGTTAATTTGTGCAACATCAACTTATCTGCCAGTAGCCTGCCTCGGTTTAAAAATATATTGTACTTAGAGCATGCCCTTGAGTATCAAATAAATTTGGAGACGTAAACACCATATGCAGGTGATAATGGAATATTGCTACATAAGTAAGGAAAGTTGACGATGGAAAACCTGAAGTCATCTCGTTTGAAATACAATTTAGGTTTTAGATGGCCCTTATTATCTATAGTTAGTAAAACACTCAGATATGAAACAGATATGGCAGCCTCTGCGGTGTCTTTTATTTGAAGTTCACTGGGATATATTGAGTCGACAAGTGAATGGAAGTAATTAATGTTAATTGATAAAACGTAGTCGATAAATATGAATGTCGAGTTGAAGGACACGGCAAGTATTTACTTCTTCACATGTAGAAGTTTTTTGAATTAAGTCTGCTTCATAGGTCAGCTAATAAAGGAGCACAATTAGTGCCCATCGAATTTCAACAGTTTGTTTGATGACCTGGTCTCACAAGACTATAAAATAGTTTATTATTTTTCCTATCGTTTCCACCTATCTGAATGGCTCAAACTTAATCACATAATCAAGCATGAAACAGCTTATAAACTAGGCATATCTAGTTAATGCTTTTTAAAAAAGGCTTACAAACCTGTGGACCTTTTTACAAAATATCTTGTGACTAAGACAAATTTTGTCAACTCCCCAAAACGTATCTAAATAAAAGTAGTTTACAACATACTTTACCCCCCCCCCCCCCTCCCCCCAAAAAAATCTATGAAACACGGATTTTTAAGATATTTTTATATAACTTAAATAATAATAATAAAAGAAATATAGCCTTTTGATTTGGTACAATCCCTAGATATATATATAGACTATGTGCTAAGTCGATATGCTTTCCCTAATGTCTATATATTTAAAGAGGCTATACCTGTATGATAAATCTTCTGCCTTCATTAAAATATAATTAATAATTACATCACGTGTCCAGAAATTTTCCATTGAACAAGCTAGCAATAAAAGAAATACACTAAATGAGAAAAAAATATATATATAAGGAAATTAATCTGAAAAAACTATCATAGTTATTTTTTCCAGTATTAATCTGTCATATTAATGTGTACTCATAAACACAATATGAATAATTTTTGGATTAAATGACTTTTCAAATAAAACTCAGATCGATAAGTAAAGTAAAAACAATGAAAGATTGCATTTGTATGAAATACTTCAGTGAATGAAAAAGCACACTATGTTAGGACTTTCAAACAGACAGCAAGTTTGTTTGTTGTTTTTAACGTCCCTCTCAAGTATTTTTCACTCATATGGAGACGCCACCACTTGCCGGTGGAGAGCTGCAAATTTTTACCTATGCTCAGCACACAGGGCCGTTGAGTAGTAAGGGATCTTTTTCGTGCCAGCACCTACTGCGATAAGGGACCTCGGTTTATACGGTCTCATCCGAAGGACCAAACAGCAAGTAAATATTGAATAATTCATCAAAATTGATTTAAAATTAGATTTAAAAGTAAATACTACCATACATGCATTATTTTGTATATAGTTTCAAAATAATAATTTCAGAAAATA